ATTATACTAGTTACACGTCGACGTACTAAACCCTAAACCCTAAACCCTAAACCCTAAACCCTAAAAGGAAACCCGAAACCCTGAACCCTAAAAGGAAACCCCAAACCCTAAAAGGAAACCCTAAACCCTAAACCCTAAAAGAAACCATAAACCCGAAACCCAAAACCCCAAACCCTAAACCCTGAACCCTGAACCCTAAACCCTAAACCCTAAACCCTAAACCCTAAACCCTAAAAGGCTAAACCCTAAGCCCTAAACCCTAAACCCGAAGCCCTAAGCCCTAAACCCTAAAAGGAAACCCTAAACCCTAAACCCTAAACCCTAAAAGGAAACCCTAAACCCTAAACCCTAAAAGAAAACCCTAAACCCTAAACCGTAAACCCTAAACCCCAAACCCTAAACCCTAAAAGGAAGCCCTAAACCCTAAACCTTAACCCCTAAAAGGAAACATTAAGCCCTAAACCCTAATCCCTGAACCCTAAAAAGAAACCCCTGAACCCTAAACCCTAAAAGGAAACACTAAACCCTAAACCCTAAAAGGAAACCCGCAACTCTGAACCCTAAAAGGAAACCCCAAACCCTAAAAGGAAACCCTAAACCCTAAACCCTAAAAGGAACTAAACCCTAAACCCTAAACCCCCTAAAAAGGTAACAGAAGCCCTAAACCCAAAACCCTACACCCTAAACCCTAAACCCGAAACCTTAAAAGGAAACCCTAAGCCCTAAAAGGTAACCCTAAACCCCAAAAGAAACCCTAAACCCTAAACCCCAAACCCTAAACCCTAAACCCTCAACCCTAAAAGGAAACCCTAAACCCTACGCCCTAAACCCTAAACCCTAAAAGGAAACCCTAAACCTCAAACCCTAAACCCTAAGACCCTAAACCCTAAACCCTGAAGCCTAAACCCTAAAAGGAAACCCTAAACCCTAAACCCTAAATCCTAAAAGGAAACCCTAAACCCTAAAAGGAAACCCTAAACCCTAAACCTTAAACCCTGAAAGGAAACCCTAAACCCTAAACCCTAAACCCTAAACCTTAAACCCTGAAAGGAAACCCTAAACCCTAACCCTGAACCTTAAACCCTAAAAGGAAACCATAAACCCGAAACCCTAAACCCTAAACCCTAAACCCTAAACCCTAAAAGGAAACCCTAAACCCTAATCCCTAAACCCTAAGCCCGAAACCGTTAGGGACACCGTAGACCCTGAATCCGAAAAGGAAACCCCAAGTCAAAAAATCGAGAGTTGGCTAAGTGACCGCTCGGGGTTTGCTAAGTGACCTGAAAAACGATGCGCTCTCCGATTGGCCAAGTGACCGTGTTCGGGGTTGGCTAAGTGACCCGGGCTCCCCCATAAACCCCTGAGCCCCTAAACCCTAGACCCTCAACCCCAAAGCACCAGCCTTCGAAGACCAGAGACTTTCCCCGCAGGACGGCAGGCTGGGAGGTCTCGGCACAGGCGCCTGGCGTCCTGAGGTTTGAGAGCCTTCGGACTTCGGTTTCAAGAGGGTTTAGGGTTAAGGGTTTAGGGGTTTAGGGTTTAGGGTTTAGGGGTTTAGGGTTTAGGGTTAAGGGTTTAGCGTTTAGGGTTTAGGGTGTAGGGTTTAGGGTGCAAGGGTTTAGGGTTTAGGGGTTTGGTGGCTTTGGGGTTTTGGGTGGGGTTTAGTTCAAGAGTTAAGGGTTGAGTTGAATGCTTTGGCTGGGATGTCGGGGTTTGTGGGGGTTTATTGGTTCAGGAATACCCTAAACCCTAAACCCTAAACCCCAAACCCTATTGATTAGGAATAAGGGTGTGGGATTTAGGGTTTAAGGTTTTGGGTGTGTAGGGTCTTCAAAACCCAGCGTTCAGGCTTGGTGGGGTCCCTCGATAGTTCTTTGTAGCGTTAAACCCTAAACTCCGAAAAGCTGAAAACCCAATTTTGAAACCCTAAACCCTAAACCCTAAACCCTAAACCCTAAATCCTAAACCCTAAACCCTAAACCCTAAACCCTGAAGCTTTTGCCTAAAGCCTGAACCCTAAGCCATCGACCCAAAGTTTTCAGCCGTAGCCCCTAAACCCTGAACCCTAAACCCGAAGCCTTAAGCCCTCAGGTTCTGACCCCAAGCTGTACCCGACAGGGTTTAGGGGTTAGGGGTTTAGGGGTTAGGGTTTAGGGTTTAGGGTTCAGGGTTTAGGGTTTGGGGTTTAGGGTTCAGGGTTTAGGGGTTCAGGGGTTCAGGGGTTTTGGGTTTAGGGTTTTCAGGGTTTTCAAGGTTCAGGGCTTCAGGGTTTCAGGGTTTAGGGGTTCAGGGGTTTTGGGTTTAGGGTTCTTCTCCACCTAGGAGTTGAGCAGCTAATAAGTTCTGGAGACCGCTTCAATGGAGAACATTAACCAAACAAGTGTAAACAGCACACAACCTCCAAGAGCAGCATAGACAAATACGTACGTTTGCATTTTGGTGAAACTATCTGTGATTACGAATATGATGATGATTGCTGCGCTTGCTGATATTCTTCTTGTGAGAACGAGCCCTAAATGCTAAACCCCTAAACCCTCAAACCCTAAACCCTAAAACCCTAAACCCAAAACCCTTAACCCTAAACCCTGAAACCCTAAACCCTAGACCCTAAAACCCTAAAGCCCTAAAACTCTAACACCCTAAACCCTATGAACCCCAAAACCCTAAACCCTAGACCCTAAAACCCTAAAGCTCTAACACCCTAAACCCGAAAACCGTAAACCTTGAAAACCTAAGTCCTAAAACCCTAAACCCTAAACCGTAAACCTAGACCCTAAAACCCTGAAACCCTGAAACCCTAACACCCTAAAACCCTAAAACCCTGAAACCCTACAGCCCTAAACCAGGGACTCTGCTTCCGCCAGCCTTGGACGGGTCAACTGCATAGGGCCGTCCATGTCCTTAGCAAGACCGGGGGTTTCGGGGTGGAGGGTTTCAGTGCTTCTTTTTTTAGGGTTTTAGGGTTTAGGGTTTCAGGGTTTAGTGCTTTAGGGGTGTGGGTTCAGGGTTTCAGGGTTTAGTGTTTTAGGTTTCAGGCTTCAGGATTTGGGGGTTCAGGGTTTAGGGATTTAGGGTGTCAGGGTTTAGGGTTTCAGGGTTTAAGGTTTAGGGGCTTCAGGGTCTTAGGCTTTGCCTTGGTTTACCGTGCAGGGGCAAGTTGATAAGGTAAGAAGTACAACAAACTCTGTGGTCCCACTGACACTTTCATGTAATGTAGGGGCCTTCTTTCTTTCGGGGAGGCGGAAGGTCCGACGGACGTGCCTATTGCAAACACAAACAACTGAATTCTACGGTGAAACAGGGATGCACAGTCTTCCCTCCGTCCTGCGCAGCCATCTCAAGCCATGTCGAAAATGGGGCAAGAGCTTCCTTGGAGCAGGGGAAACGGGCAGAGGCAGGACGTCCCAAGCTCGCAACAGAAAGCAAGAAGCCGACGGCAGGCATGATCAGGAGCAGCCACTCATCCACAGCGCGGAGAGCGCGAACTCCACAAGGAGGAGGAGAGAAGACCGGTAATGCCAAAGCAGCTGGCATGGGGAACGAGAAACAGGCCCCGGCAACCTGTGCACTGTTCCATCCAGCAAGGGAGGCAAGAGTAACCTCCTTCAACTGGCCCGGAGCCCCAAATTGCGCCTTACACCAAGCCTCCGTAGGCCAACCACAGTATCGGGAGCTGCAGAGACCCCGGCACGCGGGAGTGAACAGTGATCAGCGGCTGAAAAGTACCGCAGGCGATCATCGGCGCGGCAGCACTGCCCGAGACCTTGGTGCAAATGTGAACAGGATGTAGGACAAGCAGCACATCCTCACAAGCAGTCCGAACTCGTCCCAAGGGGAGCAAAGAGCCCCAAGTGGAGAGGGTGCGGCGCAAAATGCGTGCGCAACCTGCCCTCGGAAGAAACCTGTAGGCCGCAAGCTTGGCAGGTACGGCCCCGTGCGACCGTATGCGCACGAGAGTGGTAGCCGTGTACACGGTGAGCATGTGCCCCCCATTGTTGGCGGGTGCCAAAAGCAATCCCGCACACTAGGCAGGCGTGCTCACAGGAGTCCAGGGGGGAAGTGACCCTAGTGCGTTCACTCCAAGTGGCACGTGCGAACCCATCGAGCCTAGCCTGAATGCCTGTAGGAGTGCGGTGCCACAATTCTGCACGCTTGATCAGACCCCTCCAGCGGCCCGGCGTGTCACGCATAGCGGACTCCCACTTGTGCCAACATTCACGTAGGCAACCAAGCTCACAGGTGCTACCAACAGCGGCCATGAGCCATCCAGATGCCGTCAAAAGCGCCTGTTGGTAACCATCATAATGGCCCAGCAGAGCCCAGGCCGCGTCGGGTCCGTGCCTAACAAGCTGTGCAAGGAACCTTAGGCGCTCTTGTTGCAGCAAGGAATGAGGGGAGGGGAGACCGACACGGCTCAGGATCTGGGCCTCAGTGCAACGAAAATTGCCCTCAGCCCGGAGACCTAATAGCTGACGATATAGACTGATGATCCCACCTGAAAGGGCACTCCATTCCTGGTTGTTCAGAGTCCGCCATGTGCCGATGCCGGCGGTAACAACAGAAAGAACGTGCGAGCGGAAAAGAACCGCACGGCGCACAAGTGGGATCTGTCTGCACGCGAAAAGGCGCTGCTTACCTTCTTTCATGGCTGTGCGCCCAGCCGATAAACGGTGTCGGATCTCCAAGAGCAGGCACCCGTCATGGGACACAAAGGAGCCAAGGTGACGATATCCTGGAACGATATCCAACTTGAGGCCGCCACAAGACTCGGGAAGAACCACCAACTTACCTTTGCCCTCTGAAAAGAGGCGGCGGCGGACCGCACGGGACCCAGGGCCAGTGGGCACCACGACCGCTGCCGTCTTAGTGGGTCCTATGTTTGCCTTCAGACCATGGGGAAGGAGGGCGTCGATAGTCTCCGCGGCAGTGCTGGAGACAGCACCGGGCAGATCGCCAGGATTTGCACATACCAGGAAACTGGCCAGGTCATCGGCGTACACCACATCACTGGCCTCGACAGTGAGGGTGGGGGAGTCTCTGGAAGCGGGCAGGGAAGCACACCTGGACCAAGGCGAGCGAGAACCACACCAAGGCACCTGTGGGACGAAAGAGCGGCTCATCGATTGGGCCCTGCGTTCAAGCACTTTGCAGAACAGGATGCTAAACACGACGTCTGCCAACGACCCACCAGGTCGTGTGCCGCGGTGGGTTTCCACGACTTGGGAGTCACCAGTCATGATAAACCATGTGTTGGCATGCAGCTCTGCAGCTACTTCCTGGAGGAGCGGAGCAGCATCTTGCGTGTGCAGCACCGGCTCCTGCTCCACGAAGAAGTGCAACTTCTGAAGGTCATCACTCGACAGACCAAGGGTCTCGACGAGGGCGTCGAGAGGCCTGCTGTGGGTTCCGGCACCAACAACAGCCTCACGAATGACCCCATAATACGCCGCTGATATGTCAACGAACAGAACAGCAGCAGAGCAACCAATCGACTTCGCAAAGGCCAAGAAAGCCCTTGTGCAAAAGTGGCCAAAGGATGCTGGGCAGCCACGTCTGCCGCCGATCTGTAAGGGAAGCACATGACGGTCCCAGTGTTGGACCGCCAGGTGCCGGGTGGCTCGATGCAGAGCCTTGGAGATGCAGGATTGCACCAGAATGCCCCTATAGCCAGCCAACGTGTTGGCAACTGCTGACGGCTTGGCGATCCGATGCATCACGCCTCCTTTAAGGCCAACTGCCTCATTAGACCGCAGCACCGCCTTGAGCATAATGGGCCGGAACAGCTCGGACAGCCGCTGGCTGAAATGTGTGCATATGGCAGGCGGCAGTAGGTCAGGGCCACATGCCTTATTGGGCTTCGCTGCTTGGAAGGCCGCGCGCAGATGCGCCAAGGTCGGGACTGTTGACACATCGACGGTATCAGAGCCCTCGAAAGAACACTGCCGCATTCGGCAGGACTCCGCCAGGGCACCTGCCTCAACCTCAAGGCCTGCCTCCAGCACCCGGAGGCTGCAACGCTTGCTCAAGTGACAGGATTTGAGGGACTGCAAGCACACGGGTGTGGCTGAGATGCTCCCGTGCTGCTTCCAAGCGATTGAGCGCTCGCGGAAAGGCCGGGCAGGCAGGATCAAGGATTGCAATATCCAGCAGCGTGCGTAGACCTTCAAGAGGGAGGTACTCAAAACCCTCTTCGCCCGCACTGCCAACCTGAGCAGGAGGGAGTATAGCCGCGCCCTCTGTCAGTCCTGGAACTGACGACGGCCTGGCACGGCAAGGAGTAGCAATAGCGCGCGCGGACCATTCGACGCTTCTGGCAACTTGCCCGCAGGTGACCGCACTCGGAGGCAAGTGCATAGCTGCAGCGCCGGTTGTGAGACCTCCACCAAGGCAGACCGTCACCCCAAATGCGAGGCAGGGCCTGGATCGTCCAGCATGAGCGCAAAGAAGCAGAACTGCCAAACAACTCTGCCCGGTGGCGCGAAAGAGCAAGGCATACAGCAAGAACATACAAGTAAGCTGTACTCCATCCCACCAAGAACGGGGCTTGCACGTAGCCCGACCGAGCGGCATCCTACGTTGCCCCTGTGTTCCAGTGCTGCATCCGGGGCCACTCGGGCCATCACGAGGGGCACCAGGGCACGCCCGAAGTCCGGAAGACCAGGGGCTGGTGACGACATTGGACAGGGACTCATCCGCATGCACGGACAGGGACGGCTGTGGGGCAATCGCGTAGGTTACCGGATCCGAAGCAAACAGCACAGGAACCACAGCCCCCGCACAGATCCAGAGCCATCGCTGGTCCTCAGCGCAATCAGCGAAAACGACATGACAACCAGCTGGGGCATACCGCTGTAGTGCCCTTCGCAGAGGATCAAGATCTAGCCAGCCTTCAGTGGCAACTATTCGCCTCCACCCCCATAGGATGGGCCGGCAATCAAGCAAGCCGGGCACATCGTAACCAGAGCGTCCACCCAATCTACCGGCTGAAACTACAGCACAATTGACTCGCCCAAAACAAGCGCTGTCTGACACCGGGGGGTCGGCAGGAGTCAGCACCATGCTAGCAACGTCGAGAGAAACAAGTGCTGCAAGGTCGTGCCGGTATGACGTGGACCTCTCAGGGCGTAGGAAGAAATTGCGTACAATGTACTCAGTGACAACGCAGTAGCATGGGTCGTCGTAGTCAGGCGGAAAAGGAGGGCCGTGGCTCCATGGCAAGTGCGAGTCTAGCATGGCATCCAAAGATCCTTCGTGGCTGGGCCGGCCGTCAGGCGGCGTGAACCGAATGCAGTGCCCGGTGTCAAGCCAGACGTGCACATCTTCGCGAAGGGGCTCGTACTCATTAGGCATCCACACAGCAACATTGGCATCAGCTCTCAACCCCGCGGCGGCAAGGAGGAATTGCCGGTGACTCGGTACAGGAGCCCAAACCGAAAAAATACGACCGTCATAAGGCATGAGATCGAGGCACACAACCACTGCGTTCGTCAACCATAAAGGCACAGCAAGCAGAGTGGCCCAGCGGGAGTCAGGCTGTGGAGAAACAGGCACAAGCACTGGAAAAAATTTTTGCAAGCGGATCCGCGCGACAAGTCCGCACCACATCCAACGATTCCTCCACAGTTTGAGGTAAGAGGAGCTGCAGGTAGAGCACTTCCTTCTTGAAATCTGGGGCAAGGATAACGAAGATGGTGTGCACCTCAACGGGCGTGTCCGCGGAATCAGTAGAAGACTCATACGCTTCCGCAGCATTGCCACCACTGTAGGGGACCATATCAGAGAGGTCTGAGCACTGCTCCCGGGTTTGCTGAGGAACGACCTGCAAGTCAGGCTCAACGCATGAAGGTCTGCCGGAAGAGCAAGGAGGGATGCTGAAGGCCTCCTCGTCCCCTAGCACCAG